GAATAGAAGCGTTTATTCGAGTCTATGAATAACACAATCAAACCATAATAGCCTTTATTACATGGATGAATCTGCGACTGACATTATACACAGCCATTTTAAATAGATACACAATTGCTTTCATTTCAAATTCAGAACACTGAAGCGTCTATGAAACCTGTCTCACGCAATTACGTCACATCCGGCGGAAGTGACGGTCCCAAGACGGATGTCGTACTAATAGCCGCCGTAGTCTCAATTATGAACATCTTCCCTCTGAGGGCAGGAGTGACGAGCCCTCTTCATTACACAGTTTAAATGTTTTGTAATGAGATGGCGGTTTGTAGTGCTGGGACATTTTTGGACATTTGAAGATGACATAACATAACATCATGCCTTTTATCCTCCAAGGGGTAGGCAGAGGTGCACATTACGGCACTTAAACTGTCAAACACCAAGCGGTCACCGGTGACCGCAACCTATTGTTCTATAATTGTGTCTACAATGACGGTACTCGACGAGTTAATGCCCCTGTACAATGTAACACCCACTTTTCTCTATTTACGTTATGAGTCCCATGTAATAGGGGGTGAGCCTATTGCCATATACCGGGCACAATTCCAGACTCCGTGCTACTACTGAGATTTTTTTAAGAACCCAGTTGTACTATGCCCGACCCGGGAATCGAACCCGAGACTTCTTGCCCGGTAGTCGCATCTGCGACCAATCGGACAATGGGGCAGTCGATGACATAACATTAAATGAGAATATTTTTTAAAGAAGTAGGTAAAATTATATTTAGAAAGGTCTCAATTTTCGTCTGTTATTTTATAAGTTTCGTTATTACTGAGTTAAGAGTAGGTATCGCTAAATATCAGCAAGATCGCAAGGCATTTCGAAGTTAAAAACTAAACCTAGCTCAACTTGAAAAACGAACCAGTCCTAAATATTCTCATATGACCAGAAATGAGAATTAAACCTTAGTAGAAAACAGCGAGCTTACACCTTTAACTACAAAAAAAAAACAAACACAAACTTACATCACTATACCCAAATAAAAAAAAAAACATTTGACACCCGAAAGAGCACACCAACAAACAACAAAGAGAAAACACATTAAATAAATATATAGGCAGAAATCTGTTCGGAAACAGAATAACTTGGGAATAAGGAAAGTGGTCCAATAAAATATGATACACTCAAATGGATTGGCTATGAACGAGGGAACGTTTTGCCTTATGGCGGAGGTATGGAATTACAAAGATGAATTGTAAAAGAAGTCAATGGGGGATGATGTTCAGCGGTGAATGTGATTATGATGGCGCTGATGACAAAGCTTTGTGTTTATAATAACACTAGCTACTTCCGCGCGGTTTCACACGCTCTGCTCAGCTCCTATTGATTGTAGCGTGATGTTTTATAACCTATAGCCATCCTTGATAAATGCGCTATCCAACATAAAAATAATTATTCAAATCAGACTTGTAGTTACGGAGATTAGCGCGTTCAAACAAACAAACAAAAAAACAAACTTCCGCTAATAGTATAAGAGTATAAGATAATTAAACACAATTCTCAAATTCATATTCCCTAAAAGGCCAACAATGTACTTGTAATACCTCTGGTGCTTCGGGTGTTAATGGGCGGCGATTGCTTACCGTCAGGTGATCCATCGATTCGTTTGCCGACTTATCCCATAAAAAAAAGATTTTATATAGTTTTACCAATCACTATGTTTAAGGGGTAAAGATAGAAAGAAAAAATTAAATTTTGGTTTGATCTTAGACTTAAATCTGGTCCAGAATAGACACTATAGAGTAAACGCTTGACTGTCGAGCGAGGACGCTGTCTGTGGATTGACTGCGGAATGTATTTCTTATTGGGTCAAGTTTTCAAATATTGTTGGTTATAGCACGAAGATATTAATTTTATTGTGGCAATGGGTTCACCAATAATAAGTAGCGGAACAAGGGATTCATAATCAACGATAAATATAAGCATCCAGCCTACAAGTGGCCGCTGCTGAGCAAAGGCTTAGCTTTTCTCACACGGAAAAAGGCGATAATGTCTTATCACTACATAGTTAAATTACTAAAATAAAACAAAGTCACCATCCGCCGTCTGTCTATCGTCCCTATCTATGCTTAGATCTTTAAAACTACGAAACGAATTTTGATGCGGTTTTAAACAGATAGAGTGATTCTTAAGGAGGGTTTATATGTATAATACATACATATTGCACCCGTACGAAGCAGGGGTGGGTCGCTAGTGTGACTACACACACAGTTAACGTTACCAAAAATATTGAATTGTAGTTTGTTAGCCTATTCGCAATACAAAAACAAAAGTACTCTTTCTTCCACGCCCACGATGTTTCCGGCATATTTTTACACAAGACTTGATAACAAAAAGGAATGATCAAACTATGATAGATGTGTTTTTAAATATTGTACAAATAAACGATCTGTACGAAGACAGGCAGCTGTTAGCGGGTGTGACGTCACTACAGCTTTATAACTTCACTGGCGATATAATATTTTGTTTGGATAGAAATTATAAATATGGTTTTACTGAGCGAGATTAGGCCAGTATATAAATAAAAACCATTCATTGCTTAATGCAATCGTTAAAATTTCTTTTTGTAAATACTGGATGGAATTTGACGTGTTGAATTAGTTATTGAACTAATTTGACGTATCTATATTATATCTCTCGTGAGACATACTAAATTTAGTACAGTCGCCGCGTCGAGGAATGTTGCTCGTGATAAAGAGCCTCTAGTATGGCTTGAAACTAGTCGAGCTCCTCATCAAATAATTACACGAGTAATCAGAAAACCATAATAATTTGACATTTCAATTAAATGAATGAGTTATTATGTTTTCGGCTTACTCACGTAATTATTTCACGAGGAACTCGACTAGTTTCAAGCCAGTAGCAGCGCGACAGTCGCCGCGTCGCGAGTCGCGAAATGCTGCTCACGAATATGAGCCTCTAGTATGGTTTGTAACTAGTCGAGTTCCTCGTCAAATAATTACGCGAGTACGCAGAAAACTATAATAATTTGACATTTCAATAAAGTGAATAATGAGTATGCAGGTCGCTTTAACTCGCTTCCAACAGGCCGATGTGGAAGCCATTTAGGAAGGCGGGAAGGTCAATTTCAGCGAAGTTTAAATACCATTTTCAAAGTAAAATAATTAGCTATGTGAGGAAAGCACAGTAAAATACCTATTTAAGTGAGCTCCCTTATTATTCTCACGGGTTTATGAAGAGCCAAATGGACTACATATTTGAAAGATATCGATAATCCTAATACTTGAACTCCCGAGCACTACCAAGACTGGACCTTGTTGAACTGCCCACCTGTCAAAAAATTATGGCAAACTGACTTATTTAGACCTAGGAGGGATGCTGAAGGAAGAGACATGATGAATTAAAAGAGTGACGAGTAGAGTAGAGTGGTTTTAAGTGTGGGAGAGCCATGCTTCGGAACAAATGGGCCGACTCGACCGAAGTGATACCGCGACCTCACAGATAACCAACGTGAATGAAGGGAATGCGTAATTGAGGTTACTGTAGGCCCAGTTACCCCGCTCCTCTCCCCCTTCCCCAATGTCCCCAATCTCCAACAATCTTCAAATTCCTAATCTCCAAAAGGCAGGTAACGCACTTTTACGCCTCTGGTATTCCAGGTGTCCATGGGCGACGACGATTGCTTACCATCAGGTGATCCGTCTGCACTTTTACCGACTTATCTCATAAAAAAAAAGCTTCTTAGTCGTTCTCGCTGAATCGCCCATTTTACCCCCTCCCTCCCGTCTCCCGAATCCTCGAATCCTCCACATCTTTATGCTTTAAATTATTTTTATTATTACCGGCTTATGCTATAAAAATAAAATTGACTTTGACGAATGTCATATTAATGTCAATTACACACAGCCAAACACACAAACACACACAGCCACACACAATTTTCGTCATTCATAAGTACCGTACAACTTCTAGCGCTAGGCGCTAAACCACTTTGAATGTAAAAGGTAACCTGGTGCTATTTAAATCGTCACTTAACGCCGACCTAGTTGTTTTAATTGGAGCTTGCAGTTTCTTAGGCTTTGTGCAAGGCTCGCCAATTAGTGCGAAAGGCGTGGTGTAGGCTATTAGAACTGATATACGACTTAAGAAGGAATGTGTGAACGTATGGATGAATTAGTTTAATGTTTGTTCACTATATTTTGGGTCGTAGTTTGGTGTGGTTGAAACTGTGATTGCTTGGGTTTGGTTAGAAGTGGTGTTGGCAGGTTGATTGTGTGCTTTGGTCTTAATAATGGATTTATTATTAGGTATTTAATTTAAGAAAAACTACTAGTTTCTAGTGACAGAAGAAGTCCTACTCATGAGCATCGTGCGCGGTTGCGGCGCTGTCACGCAGCCTACTGTGGCTTTTTTTGTTGACGGGGGGAAACCTTCAAAAGGCTCCAGGTTTTTTGGGGAAAAGACTAAGGACTGTGGGATTTTTACCTCACTAAAACCTCCCCGGTAGCCACCATCCGCACTCGAAGGAGGCACCGGGTCCTCTTAGTAGACCAACCCCGGAGACTGCACTGTGGCTAGTGCTGTTATTTTTTTTATTTAGTAAGTCCCACGACAATTATTATTACAAGATTATTATTATTCTTATAGGTACTTAATGGGGGAAAATCATCGAATGACTTCTCCCACCTGGGTGGATTTATGTCAATAGCTTCGCGCGTGTGTAAAATTGAGAATATTTCTTTAGAATGACTATCCTATTAATATCAAAAGTTAATTTTCTTATGTTACTCCCTAAAATGGTAAGCTTTCCAATAGTGATAGACTTTGTTATTTATATCGCTCCTTCAGTTTTGGATTTCATTCCAAACAAACAATTTAATCTCTGTTCGTTGTAGCAATTGCTAAGATTCAGAACGGTACTGAAAAGTAAACAACCTGGGGCGATCTAAAACTTATTGGAATTAATACTAAATTAGGTAGCTCGAGCGAATTTTCGGAGAGTGCCTATCAAATTCTCATTGACTTTAATATCGGAAAGTGCTCTCATATAATTTATTCTTCTTTGATAGTCGAGGTGGCCTGGAGGTTTAAGACGCCCGCTTCTCATGCATGAGAGAGCGGGTTTGAAACCTACCAACGGCAAGAACCAATGTGACTTTTTCCGAGTTACATGTGCTCTTTAAGATTATCTAGACACCACTGACAAACGGTGAAGGAAAACATCACCTGGGCTTATAATATCTAACTAGAAGTTTCAAATCGCCAACCCGCGTTAAGCAAGCATGGTTAATGCTGAAATCTTTTCCGTGTGAGAAGACGTTTTGGTCAGCAGTGGCCAATTATAGGCCGTTGATGATGATGATGATGATAAAGTAATGACAGTACCTAATGTTACTCTGTTATAATCACCTACGAGCACTTAGTTTAATAAGTTTCCACTCGTCTTCTCGTTGATGATGATAAATAAGGTAGTATTATTATTAGTTTTGGCTTGGCACCGACTTCCAATCAATCAATAGCTAGTACATGCTTTCATTTACGTAAAGATGTTTGTGTATATGGTAAGAAGATAAAGATAGATTCAATACTACATTTTCCTATTAGCTATATGGATATGCAGAAGATTCAATTGATAGAAAAGCCTAACGTTCAACTGTTAGGCAGTAGCCGACCAGGCATGATAACCTCACGAGGTCAAATGAAAAAAAAAATGAACTCCCGTTTTCCTAACGAAAACATCACACCCTGACCCTTTAAGAAGCCTTGTGATACAAATTTCAAATATATATTTGATGAGCAACGTTTGACCACTATCTCGCCTGATGGTCAGCGATGATGCGACCTACGACGGAGCACGTCTTCCCATAAGCAACCTATTCACTCGGGCCTTGAAGACACCCAAGTTATATCCTTCAGGAAACATAGACTCTGGCAAAGACTTCCACTCCTTAGCAGTACGCACAAGGTAGCTTGATGCGAAACGCTTCGTGCGTGGGGTGGGATATCCACCATGAATCGGTGACGCTTCGCCGATTGTCTTATAGTATGATGATGGAAAGAACTAGGCGGTATCAAGTTGTGCAATTCATCCTAAATTCTTAATTTTACTAGTCACCTGTATATTCTGCCGTGTATCAGGTATGGGCACGCCACTGGCCGCGGCCGGCCTCGCAACAAGCAATCTCACGCATGCGCCGCACTGCCGCAGCACCGCCGCCGCCTGCCGCGCGCACATCCCCACCACTGACACCGCGCCGATGCGCAGGAGCATGTCGCCGCTGCGGAGTCTACCGTCCTGGTGGAAGAGAGAATAAGGTTGAAAAAGAGAATGAAGAATTAAGAGGATGTCGGAAACAGAGAACATGAAATAAAACAATAATAAAAATGCGGCTTATTCACGTTGATAACTTATTTAGGAGAATTAACAGCTGGTTGGAGGAAATCTGTCTTTGAGGAACCGGGGGTTAGTCTCTTAGCTGTAAACTGAAAAAGTCAAATTAAAGAAAATTTGTATCACAATAATAAGGCGCTTTATTGCGCCGAAAAGTAAATGTACTGACGTGTAAAAGTGTTACTTTGTATCCTATTTGCAGAAATAAATATCATTTCATTTCAGTTCAAAGGAGTCAAAAGCTTCTAGGTAGATTCGGGGTCCAACGAGCCTAAATCGACTAATGGTAACACTCACAGACACTGGCAACACCAGAGGAGTTTCAGTTTGCAGTGCAGACCTTTTAAAAATAATCTCTGTATCTGTAACGCAGTTTAATAATACTATGGTCTATATGTACCTCTATAAAACATCATTTTAAGAGAACAACGCATTAACAATTCAAAATTTGGTTATGTTTACACAACCATACATACACACACACACAAATAAACATAAAATTTCTCCCGCCGTGGGTGTGTGGACAAATAGATGACGGAACAAACGTCTGCAGAATATTCAAATATTTTGATCCCCGGGATATTGTAAACAAAAACATAGGTGCTTTGGATTTTAAATATTATGTTCCCAGTTTACACAATCCAGTAGGTCCTGAATATACTCTGGGCCTTTAGCCAAACGCCACTTTAGCGCTTGTCTACAGAGAGAGAGTAGAAAACTAAATGTATGGGGATGACACTGACAAGTGTCAAAATTTACGTCAATTCTATATAATTTGGTTTTCTATTCTACATGTAGACAAGCGCTAAATGGCATTTGGCTACAGCTGCTGTTTTGTAACGTGACGTCACTTATTCTCTGAAAGTATAGACAGAAATATAATGAAAAGCTAAATTTTGCCCGCGACTTCGTCCGCGTAGAAAATGACTTCTATGACATAACTTTTTTTGTTTAAATTTTCCACCATAAAAGTAGCCTATGTTACTCCTTGGTATGTACATCAGTTACCTGCCAGTAAAAGTTCCGTCAAAATCGGTCCAGCCATTCCAGAGATTAGCCAGTACAAATAGACGGGCGATCTAATTTTATTTATCTGTATTTTTTAAGGGGGGATAATCATCGAATGTCTGCTCCCGCCTGGGTGAGGCGGGAGGGAGTGTCAGACTCTTACTGACTAAAAACCACCCCGTTCCTACTCCTGTACTTCGAGCTGGAGCCCCGGTAACCCGTTAGGTTCTCCGCGGCTATTTATCTGTATAGATGTAACATCCGTTTTTCTAAAGTTGCTTTATTCTACGAAATAAAGGGCGAGCATGTTTCCATCTTTGGAAAAAAAACGATAACCGAAAAACAAAATGTCAATCTAATTAGAGACATCATATCAACAAGGACATGCACTTCACTAACGGGGTAGTAAAAGAGGAAATCCGCAGACGAACAAAGGTCGCCGACATAGCCCAGTGGATTAGCAAGTTGAAGTGGCAGTGGGCAGGGCACATAGCGCGGAGAACCGACGGCCGTTGGGGCAAAAAGGTTCTCGAGTGGAGGCCACGTACCGGCAAGCGCAGCGTAGGACGTCTATCCGCAAGGTGGACAGACGACCTGATTGAGGTCGCAAGGAACCGCTGGATGCAGGTCGCTTCCAACCGGCCTATCTGGAAGTCATTGGGGGAGGCCTATGTTCAGCACTGGACGTCCTGTGGCTGATATGATGATGATGATGACAAGTAATAATGTTTAAAGGAAGGAAGTTTCATCAGTCGAAACTTGCTGAGAAAAACCCTCTTACGGAAACCCTGCTCAAACAAGACATCTATATGTATATATAAAAATGAATCCTTTTTTACCTTGGTCACGGCATCACGCGTGAATGGCTGGACCGATTTAATTCATTTGTTATTATTAGGTGAAAGAAAGTCTTAAGATAGAAAAAATCCTGAAAATCCTACGGGAACGGGAGAAAACGGGATTACGCGTACGAAGTCGCGGGCAGAAGCTAGTAAAATATACAGAAGTCAGCACATGAAGCTAGCCCGAACTACAGATTTCTTTATTAGACTTTCAACCTTATTACAAAACTAGTAGAACTGAAAACACACTGACATAGTATACGGTCCCGTAGTGATCGATGAACTGACTAGTTTATTAGCAACGTAGTTTCCTATACAAACATATTTTGGACCCAAAATCACTGCCTTTGGTATAGTCACGAAGCATATCGATATACCCCAATTTATCAATGAATATTCGACTCTATTACAAACCCACTAAAGAACAAAATCTAAAAAATGTGACGGATAGGTGGACCTGCTTTGGTCTGTCCCTACTCCAGTTTTCCAATAAACCGATGTCCAATGAAGTATCCTTATATAAATGAGCCATTGTTTACAGAAATCTGCCGGAAGGACCATTATATGCTAGGAAAATAATAAAAAGGGATGCTTACTAAAAATGTTCTTGAAATCAGAATTGAATGAGAATGCTCAACCTCTTTTGTTAACTGCCTTATAGGTATGTAAGTACATAGAAAAATAAATTGGTACATAGAAAACTCTTTGGTAAAATTGAACGTAGTTACTGGCCGCTATGAAATTAAAAAGATTTATCATTGAATTTGAATTTAGAAATAGTTTTATTAAGTTGTCATTTTGTTTTTGTTAACATTAATATTTTTGTTTTAATTTTCAATTTTGTCGACATTTGCATTTTCGTTTACTAATCAAACGTCATTGTATTTTTTTAGTACTTTTTTTAATGTTTCCCCATTCTTGAATTGCCTCCTATATCGTGGCAGCGTTAACAAACATACAATTCACATACACATGACACCCAGACCCGGAATAACAATCTGTGGATCACATAAAGAGTTGTTCCGTGCGGGAATCGTGCCCACGACAACACGTTGCCCAACCAACCGTGCAGTCAATGTCAAAATCGTATTGTTTCTAAGTTTTGTCAGTAGGTATGTTCAATAGTTCTATAAACATGTTTGGTTACTGTAGCATAATGTTCGTCTACATATTAATAAACAAGCCGTGCACTCCATATACAGGCCGCCGTACCCGTAATATATTTAACTCGCAGAGTACCTCACTCATGTGCTAAGTAAGTGTAATACACTTATAATATATTGTATGTATTAGTAGATGCCTATGTATACCAGACACAAGGACTTGTACCCGGTACATTACAGAGATTTCTAAACCGTATCGATGTATTTTTTTAAGGAGGAAAATCATCGACTGACTTCTCCCGCCTGGGTATCGATGTATTTTGTATTATAACTTTTGTGAGACATACTAAATTAATTATTATATTTTTCGGCTTACTCACGTAATTATTTGACGAGAAACTCGACTAGTTTTAAGCCATGCTTTTAGTAGCACCGCGATAGTCGCTACGTCGCGGTTCGCGGAATACTGCTCATGAATATGAGCCTGTAGCATGGTTGAAACTAGTCGAGTTCCTCGTCAAATAATTACGTGAGTAAGTCCGCCAATTACACTGTATGTGCAATAAAGTTTAATAAATAAATAAATAAATAAAAAAACATAATAAATAACGTAGTGATGTAAGTTTAAATAACTACATATCAATACTTATTTCGAGGATTTTTAATCTCAATATATCATATTTGGACCTCCGAGACTTTTGATGAAAAACAACGCAAGCGTTGCCTCTCGTCAGTTTTCTGTGAGGCCATGGTATCAGTCCGGTCGAGCCGGCCCATTCGTGTCGAAGCATGGCTCACCAACACTTAAAATATTTAAAGTTTTTATTTTTTTATAACTGGTAAACGAGCAGACTGATCACCTGGGCGCTTACTCTTGAAACCAATCTCAATGTCAATGCAATTTCAATCCAATAAAATCTCAATAATTATACAATGTCAAAACTATACAACCCTTATTGTAGCTGTTAAAATAGCATTCAGGGTACAGAATATAAAGCCAAACTCAATACCATTTAGTTTATTAAATATTCACGCAATATGGATGCAATGGGCGCCAGTGCTGCATCTCGAGAGTATACCAATGTCGATCGATCGGAATTGGATTCAAGAGTAAGCCTTCTGATGGTAAGCAATCGGCGTCGCCCATGGACACCTAGCACACTAGAGGCGTTATAAGTGCGTTACCGGCCTTTTGGGGATTAGGAGCTTCAGGATCATTGGGAATATTGGGATTCAGGGATTGAGGAAGGGGCCCTTTCCCCTCCCCGTAATTGGGCCTTAGTTAGCTTTAGCTATATTTGAAGTGTAACATTTAAACATACTACAACTTACTCCTTCACATAATAACATACTATGGAGGCATGTAGGAATCGTAGTAATTGGCGTTCCCTAGTCTCTGCCTACCCCTATGGGAGACAGACGTGAAGTTATGTATGTATGTATGTATGTATAACACCTCAGTCTTCCACACCATCTAATCCATACAACTTCAGTATTGTGTAAACTTCCAAATCAATTTCCCACGCACGGGTAATTAGCTCACAGCGGCTGTAGTTGTGATGTGAACTCACACTGGCTTTCGTTATACCTTGCTTAGTAATTAGCATAGTTTACATAATCGTACCGCTTTACAAGACACTGAAGCCTACAACCGACTGAAGTGATCTACTTCAGTCGTTTAGGTAAAAGGCATGGCGTTTAATGTGTTTCATAAATCATCATTTAATTAAAGATCAAAATAAAACTAACCATGATTAGAACAGTTCTACTGAACAGATGCCCACGGCCAACCCCAAACCTCCAGGATACGAAACTTAATCAAATGAAACCCTCTATTTCATTAAATAGATGACAATCGCAACCACACTGCGATAACCTTTTTTTCTTTGTTTATCTGTACTAATTTCATTTATTTTTCTCTTATATATAGAAACTAGCTACTTCCGCGTGG